AGTAAAGAAAGTTCAAAGGAGAAAAAACTAACAGTCCGCCAAGATCTTGAGGACAGATATGCTGAACATGTGGCTGCCACCCAAGCACTACCCTGGGATAGTGGGACAGCAGCTTGGAAGGGCCAAGTGCTGCTTCCTGAAACCCGAAAGAGACAGCAATTGTCAGAGGACACCTTAACCATCCACGGCCTCCCCACAGAGGGTTACCGGGTTCTGTACCAAGCTGTGGTGGAGCCTATGCTGTGGAATCCTTCAGGAACCCCCAAGAAGTACAGCTTGCAGCTGGGCAAGGCCATCAAACAAAAGCTCTGGGAGGCTCTGCGTGGTCAGGCTGCCACACCCGAAGGTGCTCAGAAGGATGTGTTACCTGGCAGAAAGTGGCTGGGTGTCCATGAGGAGCCTGTGCCCAAGAAATAGCCTAAGTTAAGGACAGAAAAATAGGAACAGGAATTCATGGGATTAGGATATTCTCTGCTAGACGTATGAAAAATAAACACCAGTTTGCACTTTCCAAGTAATCTGAGTGCTTTACAAATTAGTGACTACCCTCCCAGGGAAATAAGACAGACAGGTATGGGACTCACTCAAGATATTACTTCCTGTAAGAGCTTGAGGGTCATAGGGAAAGGCCTGGCAGATGAAGCCAATGATTTATATTCAGCCTCTATTCCCTATTTTTAAAAAGTGGACTGCTAGGTTCTTCGTCATTGCCTACCACTTTCTTAGCTCCCTTCACACAGGACTGAACAAAATGGCTACCACTGCCTCAAGGCTATAAACCCACACACTCTAGCAGATGCTCTCCCAGGACACCACCTAAATCCCCAGTAACCTGGACTCTAAGTTAACAGGAGAGGAAGTTTTACAGCCGCTTTCATGGGCCAGTTTAAGTTAAAGCACTGCCCCATGCAAACTTCTCCTTTGTAGAATCTGTAGACCTTTACCAAACAGAGCAGTAACAACATATAACGCATACTTGATAAAATTGTATTTTTGTTTTACAGTCATTTGTACAATTTGTTACAAAACCATAGAAGACTACAACTTGTTTTAAATCATTTTTGGTCTGCAAATATGTAAAATCTGTGTGCAATTATCATGTATTTACAGGGTCTTGGGTTAGTCATTTTCAATGATTATTCCAACAATGTCACACTCTCAACATAAGACATGGCTTAAGATAAATATATTAGTAAATAAATATTCTGAGAACATATTTCCATAAATGAAATGTGCTGCTATACATATACAGAATATACATAAATTGTTTTCTAGCTTTTAAAACATTTTTTTAAAAATGGTAATATTGGAAAAAGAGCCCTTAGACCATTTTAGTACAAAATCTTTACAGCAAAGTCTTTACAAAATATCTTTTAAGTGCTATGGGAGAAATTTTTTTAAAAAACATTCTAAAATAGTGCCTTGTTAGACCAACACAATAAAAAAAAGTATATAAAGAATAGAAAAAGGCAGTTCTGTTTTAAAAACAATACTCTTGATTAGTAATTATTTTTTAGACCTCATTTTAAAAGCATTAGTCCTGCATGAACTTCGAGTAGAGACCAACCAGCAGCGCTTAGGGGAGGGTCTGAGCAGTGGGACGGCTGATGAAGCTTTACAAAATGGCTTGGATTTGGAAAGGAGGAGGAAGAGACTAAGGGTTAAAGCCAGCTTACTGGGGCTGTGTCCACAAAGAAGTACCTCATTGGCCAGAACACCCAAACTTCCATTTTTGGCTGGTTCTAAAACTCTTCAGTTTACATGGCTGTCTACACCCAGGGCTAGGCCATGGGACCACGCTCAACACTCACACCCCAACTTGGGGTGGCATGGAGTAGTTCTTAGTGGAAAATGAAATGCTCCCAGTTTCCATGGCCATATAACCACCACCCACCACTGGGAATCCAGAGAAAAAGGCTTGTCATTATTATTGATGTCTTACAACTTCAAAAATGACATCTTTTGATTTAAATGGTGAAGCAATAAGATAGTTGGTTATTTTATTCTGGTGACCTCGCTGTGTGATGAGGCAACACAAATGTAAAAGACATGGTTGATATTTAAGGTTTTAAAATTTCATTTATGTTTCTACCACTTGTAAACTACAAAAATCAAATGTGCTTTTTTTTTGCCATCTGCAGTTACCACTCTTTCAAATGAAAATTTGACACATTTATTTTAATAAGCCCAGTTGAAGCCACATTCTCTACTCATCTGTTTATTACTTAAGGCTTACTAAGGAGTGGTTTTCCAGCCGGGGCTAAAGAAAGCCACTTTGGGGGTACGGTTTCAGACAGGGAAGATAATATGTACTCAAAGGCATTAAAAACAAAAAAGCAAAACCACAAACAAAAAAAAAATCTCAACAATGAGAAGCTGCTTTTTGCAGTTCATGTTAAAAGCAATACCCCTTCCATAAAACCATGTAATGCAAGCTGTTGTCCTCAGCAGCTGCTACTCCTGGCCCAAGAAATAAAGGCGGCCCAGATCACATGTCAAAAGCTTAGGCGCTTCTCACACCCTCGCCAACAGGTGTGCTGGGCACAGCCCTGGGAGCAGCCCTCTCAACAATGAGAAGCTGCTTTTTGCAGTTCATGTTAAAAGCAATACCCCTTCCATAAAACCATGTAATACAAGCTGTTGTCCTCAGCAGCTGCTACTCCTGGCCCAAGAAATAAAGGCGGCCCAGATCACATGTCAACAGCTTAGGCGCTTCTCACACCCTCGCCAACAGGTGTGCTGGGCACAGCCCTGGGAGCAGCCCCCAAGGGACTGCACCCAAGGCTGGAGGACAAATTTCACCACAGTGAGTTCCTAAATGGCTAATGGCTCAACCATTTCATGCTGGAATTTTATTCTGTCAAATCTTGGCTAGAAATAAGTAAATTTCCTCATTATAGGATGGGGGTTTTAAGAAAAAAGTATTCTGATATGGTGAGATTCTCATTCTTAATGTTCTGGTCTAGATCTTGGGCTGACTTCCTGTGAGCCTGACTGGAGAGGGGTTATCACAGTTGCCTGGCAACCCAGGATGGTCCCTAATTCTCCACCTCCTGGGGGCCAGATCCCAAGGTTCCTATTCTGCAAATCAGCTTTTATTCCCAATGGGCCAAACTCTTTCATATGGCAACAAATACCTACTGAATGAATAAGAGTGACCAGAAGAGTCAGTGAACACAAGGGCTAATATGATTAATTTCCTCCAAAAAAATATTTTTTTAAAGAACTCAAGGAATACACTGGACAAAAAGGATGACAATCCCTGATCTGAAGTAGCTTTAAATAGATTCTCTCTCCCTTTTAAAAATGAAACATCTTTTAAACAACCAAAACGGTCTGGATTTTTATTCTCCCTCCCCCTATAAGAAAAAAAAAAAAAAAAAAAAAAGGCTGGAAAAATATATAAAAGCCTACCCTTTGGGTCTAAACTATCTGATAGTCTCTGTCTCAGGGAGAATCAATACATAATAGTGCATTAGGTAGACAGGATAGTAGACATCTGCAGGCGAGATGAGCGATTTCAGCCATGAGGCAGAGGGCTGAATAACCCTGAAGCGGTGCTTCCATAGGGAAAAGGGATGGGAAAGGTGTCATTCAAACAGAGCTCAGTGCAGAGCCCGTGGAGTCCGGGCATGTGTCCCCAGGAAGCAGCAGCTGAGGGGCGTGGTTGCCCTCACACACACGCATGCGCACAAGCATGCTCCAGCACCTTCCATCCCTTCTCTATGAAGAGCAACCCCCCCGCCTCCCTCCCACCGGCAGCCACATAGGACACCGAAGCCACAATACTACATTCCTCCTGTGTGTTTGCCCCTACACACCCGTTGAATCATTTCTGCAGCCGATAGCAGTAAGCCCAGGGCCACGGAGGGGAGAGCCTCCTTCCCCGCCCTAGGGGTCAGAGTTCAGGAAGAGGATTCCCCGAGAACATTGCCCTTGCTAGGACCTGGACCTCTGCCAAGATCAGGACCGTGAACTCCGTCATTTTACTTGGTACGATGACCCCAGGGGACAGATTGAGGATATTGGGCAGAACTGTCCCTGTCACCCTGGGGCTTATGTAGCAATGGCTTGACCCAGTTCCCCAGTGCTGCAGACCTTCCACCCTATTCCTCGCTGTTTCCGTCACCTGCCTAAAAGAGTGGGCTGGAGAGACCTGACATTTTGTACATTGGGATTTGCCATGAGAAAGAGGCAGCTTTGCATTGTTCCTCAGAGTTTGTACCCATATCAACTAGCTTTAGTTCAAGTTTCTGGTTCATTTCTAAGGCAGGTGTAGCCCTGAGCTTTTCAAAGGCCTGAGCTCCCTCTGGGGAGACAACAGTATCTACACATGATGTGGTTCATTTAATGCAGCAGTGTTTTTTTTTTTCTTTTTTCAGCGAAAGTTGGCAATTAGGGTTCTTTAAAATATATATATTTAAATAACTTTTTACATTTACATATAATATCTTTTAAAAAAAAGCAGAGAACTCAATCCCACACACCTTGGAACCCCAAGCACACACATTTTACAAAACAGAGTAACATGTTATCAAAGGAGGCAAAGGACTCAGAGAATTTTGTCTGTTGGTTTGTTAATGGGGCATGGTGGGGAGTTGCCACAGGTGGCTCACATTTTGGGTTGAGAAGAAGGGCTCTCTCTATTACCACTTTTGTGTGTTTGTCAAAGCTAAAAAAAAAATTTGTTTTGAAGGAAGTCAGAGTTTGGAGTCTCCCTATAGTTCCCAATTTCCAGATAAGAGTTCCTTCCATGCTCAGGTTCCCGTGCTGCCGCTGTCTGCTGGGCAAGAACCCGGTCCTGGGAGAGAGAGAGAACAATCATCAGGGGAGGCAGCTGGCACGGCAGGCTTCAGGCACAATGCACAGGGACCCGGCAGGGGATTCGGGCGCCCCTGTCCTGTGTGTGTGGTGGGCTCTCAGCAAGTGATAGCTCATAATGGTGGATGGACTGTGTCTAAACTAAAGGGCTGAAGCAGGGCTCCTCTTCTGAGAGGGGTTCAGTCTGTGCTGAGGGCACAGTTGCCTCCTTGTAAGCCAGCCTCCCTCATCTGGATGCGCAGCACCTTCTGGAAGCCCTTAGGTGGCATGAAAACAATGTACAAAAGAGATGTTAACTGAGTGCCCAATGTGTCAGGCCCTGTTGTACAGTGGAGAGGACCCTCTCACAGAGCTTACAGACCTCACTATGAAGTAATCTCGGATTGGGATGATTTAGGAAGTAAAGAGAGGGCGCAAGAGTGACCTTGGAGGGAGCTGGTGCGTCCTCATATTTCACCCCATCTGTCCTAGGCAAATGGTCTGGGTGAAGGCTGTATGGGCCCTGGGAGCTTCCTGGCTGTGGATCCCCACCCACAGGGCCGCAGCCCTCACAGAGGGGGGGACCCAGGAGCGAGGAACTGGCTGCTCCTGCACTGGGCCCCAATGTGGAGGGCTGGAGCTCGCAGCAGCAGGCACAAGACGGCCCCTCAGAGCCCCCCTTCCAGGTCCTCATGAGGTCTGGGGCACCCCCAGGAGAAGCCTCGAGCCCCACTTCTGAGGTAGAGCTGTTGGGCCCCCTGTGCTCCAGGGAGGAGTTGCTGCTGTAGTTCATCTCCAGGCTGCACGTGGACAGCTGGTCCCCCGAGGGAGAGGCAGGGCCCGGCCAAGGCTCTCCCCGCCCAGCACCATGACTATGTGCTGCCGGTAGCTCCTCAGGTGGTGGGGAGCCCTCGAGGTGCCCGGCAGGCCCCCGTGCTGAGCCCCCTACGTCGCTGGTGTGACAGGGGCTCCGGCTACGGTAGATGAAGGGGTCATAGTCGCTGCTGAGGGAGCTGCGGAAGGTGGAGCAGCTCCCATACACGCCCTGGTTGCTGACCTCAGTGCAGTCCACCACAGAGTCGCTAGAGGAACAGTGACATTGGCCAGAGCTGCTGCTGCTGCTGTCACTGCCGGGGCAGTCAGCCAGGTAGCCACTGCACACTGAGCGGTGGCCATGGTAGCAGCTAAAGCTGGATGTGCTGCCACTCTCCAGGTGGGAGGACGGGGCCACGTGCACCACGGTGGGGAAGAGCAGGCTGCTGCCACCGCCACTTGGCGCAAAGGCACGGGATGGGCCCCTGGGAGCCAGGCTGGGTGGAGGCGGCCCCTCCTGCTCTGGGTAGCTGAGGCCCTGGAAGTAGTAGTGTTGGTACATGGTCTCGTACTGGGAAAAGCAAGCTGCCTTGGAGAAGCTACGGCCACTAAACTTGGGCCTGCGGAAGGGGTGGGCTGGTGAGTAGGCCCGGTGCTCCAGGCCGCAGCGGTGAGCAGCCAGGGTGTGGTCCAGGTGGAGGGGTGGGTAGCCACGGATGTAGGTGGGGGTCTGTGGAGAATAGAGGCTCTGCTCCCCGTGCCGGTCCATGGTCAGAAGCGTGATGGGGTTCCCGTGGGAGTCCATGCTTGTCCTCGTAGGGTAGGCTGGGATGGCGTTGGTCCTGTGCACGCGGCCGGGGTAATGCACTGGCAAGGTCACCCTCTGCTGCCGCCCACGCGAGAGGTTGTTTGGCTCCACACAGACGGCACTTGGGTTTCCCTTTTGTTCTGGGGAGAGGGGGAGGGAACAAAGTAAGCAGGGCTGAGTGTACCGGTGTCAGGAGTGGAGGGATAAGAAAGGGCAAAGACTCAAGCAGCAGGCTTGGTGATGTGTCAGGGTGCCCATTCTCATGATCCTACCGCTATCTAAGCTGTCACCAAACTTGGCTGTGCTGGCAGAGGCTGACCTGTCTCTCCGTGTGAAAGGTGGTCATCCTGTAAGGGCCTGATAGAATTTGGATGTGTTGTCCCCACCAAAACTCATGTGGAAATCTAATCCCCAATGTGGCAGTGTTGGAAACTGATTGAGTCATGGGCGCGGATCCCTCATGGATGGATTAGTGCTCTCCCTAGGTGGGGGGATTAATGAGTGAGTTCTCGCTCTATTAGTTGCCACGAGAGCTAGTTGTTTAAAAGACCCTAGCACTTCCTCCCTCTCTCTCTTGCTTCCTCTTGCCATGTGATCTGCTTGTACCCGCTGGCTGCCTGCCGCTTTCCACCATGAGTAGAAGCAGACTGAGGTCCGTGCCAGATGCAGCTGTCCCAGAATCGTAAGCCAAATAAACCTCTGTTCTTTATAAATTACCCGCTCTCAGGTATTTCTGTTACAGCAACACAAAACGGACTAATACAGAGCCCACCTCGCATCTCCCCACTGCTCTGCTGACAAGGGCCCCACAGGAGTTGGCAGAGAAGAGCAGGGATACAAAGAGCCTTCTGCCCCCGTCCATAGCACAGTGATGCAGGAGCAACACTGCAAACCTGCCGCTACACACTCAACGTCTCTTATGGCCCTGGGAACAACCCCATGGTCCTCGGTACGGGCAAGCATCACCACTATTATTCCTGCTGAAGAGATTGGGAGCCTCAGGCCTGGAAAGGCCAGAAGTCTTGCCCAAGGCCAGGAAGCTTGTTAATATGAAGCCCAAACCTGAACTTGGGGCAATTCTTAATGCCAGGCTCTCCTAAAGGTGTACAGCCACATTCTCCAAAATCCTAGGCCACCATGTCTCCAAATCTGGAAGGCAATGCTGCAATGGTTTTGCTCACTCACGAGCCTGTAGCATGTCACATTCTAGCTAGGCATGTGGTAGGGACAGTGTCCTCCAACTTGACTCTTCAACGATAGAGGCAGGAGACAGTTACCTATGATGTTGTGCCGACAGTGGGGGCAGGTATGGTGCTGCAGCAGCCACGGGTCCACGCACTTCCTGTGAAACCGGTGAGTACAGGGGATAACCCGCAGCTCCTGGGAAGAGAAAGAGGGGACACAGCCTGAAGGGAGGGCACAGGCCAGGCAGAGGGCAGTTCTGCCGTCAGCCCCACATGTGCTTCCTCCTGCGGAGCCAAGTGTAGACACAGGAGCCCTGCTCACCATGCCAGTGCCCTTCCTCACTGTCTCACCCACCTCCAGCTACAGGTCAGCTCAGTGCCCTAGATGCAGGGCCCATGGATGGGTTCTATGGAGAAGGAAACCGCTCGCCAGCCAGCCCCAGCCCTCAGTGTTAAAGGAGCAGGAGCATACAAAAGCAGGCCTCTTCCCTGTAGTTGGAGGAGGGTGCGCACATTCATACTTCCACAAAGAGAAGACCAAAGCCTTGTGTTAGTGAGGATGGGAAGCCTGGGGTGTGCAGAGAGATGCATCTCTGTGGTGGTAGCTGCCTCTAGGTACCCCAAATGGGGACAAGTAGAAAGGAAGATCCCTGGGACTTGGGATTGACAGGTACAGCAGAAAAGGGGCAAAGTTCTCCTGTCTCCTCCTCCCCTGAACCCTCAACACTCACCACGGGGGCACATGGTTTATAACAAAAGCAGCCTATTTGGAGAGAATGTGGTGGCATTTTCTGGGGCAGAACCACCTTTGGACTTCCTGAGCCTAATCATCCTCCAAATTTGCTAATTTTGTCTTTTCATTTTCCAACCAATCTGGAACACAATAATCTTCAAACTAATACCTAACATTGTGCCTGACAGAGTACCAAGAGGTCTACTTGTGTTTTCTCATGTAACCTTTGTGGTGATCTGGAATGTCAGTCAGTCTTGGGACCACATCATAAGCACAGGCACAGAGAATGAAGTTGCTTGCCCAAGATCACAAAGAACCCAGGGTTTTCTCATGTAACCTTTGTGGTGATCTGGAATGTCAGTCAGTCTTGGGCCCACATCATAAGCACAGGCACAGAGAATGAAGTTGCTTGCCCAAGATCACAAAGAACCCAGGCAGTCTGCATCCAGTGTCCATGCGAGAATCTGTTATCCTAAAGGCCTCTGCAAAAACTTTATCATCCAACAGTCTAGACAACAGTGGAACATTTTCATCAAAGGGACATAAAATGCCTGCAATTCTCAAGTGGTTTGCTCCCTGCTCCCCAATTCTGTGTGTATGTATATATATATGCATCTATCTATCTAAAGACTAAACAAATGTGGCAAAATGTTAACAACGGATGGTTCTAGGTGAATCATCATTCACCTAGACGTATATGACTTATATCATTCACAGTACTATTTTTGCAACTTTTCTGAAGATTTGAAATTTTCAAAATAAAGAGCTACAAGGAAAAAGGGTCTTGTCTCTTTATAAGTAAAAACACCAAGTCAAGTATCAAGTTGAGTCTCAGAGTTTTCAGAAAAGTGATTCTAAAACAAAGTTAACCTGTGTCAATGTTCTTAAAACCAGATGTTTTCTGGCCTACTGTATATTAAGGATCAGCTTATAAAATCACCTAATGTTCAGCTGGGTCCTCTGGAGAGCATATCTCTGTGTGTGGCCACCCCTTCCCTGGGGAAACGGTTACAGTGTCTCAGGCCATCCCCTAGAAACCTGGGCATTTAAGCCCTTCAGCTCGTGCAGAGCTAGGGGAACAGGATATGGGCCCTGTCCTTGTAGGTGTGGGGCTCATCTGCTGACCCGCCCACCTCCTCCCCACCCAGGAAGGGCCCTGCCTCTGCCGTTACCTCTCCGTCGATATACTTCTCCAGGCAGATGGCGCAGTCAGACGTGGAGCTACTGCTGAGTGTGTCCAGGGCCCCACAGCTTCCCTCCCGACGCCCCTTGTTCTTGGAGTTGAACTTTCTGGTTTCCATCTTCTCCAGAGCCTGCACGGCCAGCCTGTTCATGGAATTCTGCACAGAAGAATGTGGTCCATGTTAGGGTCTGGTGTGTACTGTCAGAGGGAGTCACTCCCAGGGCCTTGGCACTCAAAGCACCAGGACAAGCAAACAATTAGACTTTATCAGGCCAGAACAGACTTTTGAGAAATCACTCCAAATTCAGACTTCCAGAGCACATACTTTCCAGACCCCCAGTGTCCACAACATCAGGCCAGGCTTTTCCCAAGTGGCAGTACTAGCAGAGGTCTGTCCTTCCATTTGAAGGCAGGGGCCTCCTGCAAGTACTTGGCCCTGCTGCTTCTCAACTCTATGAGACCCTGAGTTATTAACCCGCTCTACACCAAGGGTACCTCCTTCTTACACTGCAGGAAGTTGTGAGGGTAAATGAGACAATGTGTGTAAGTCTCAGCACCTGGCAAATAGGATGCGCTCAATAAACACCAGCCACTGTTCCGCTGGTGGAGGTTGCTAGACCCTCATGAGAACTTAAGTGATTCTCCCCCTCGACAGCTTGCCTACCAAGATCCACCATCTCGCTCCTGAGACATGACACTGACATACATTTGGGAGTCTAGATTCCTGCTTGTCTTCACACACCCTCCACCCCCACATCTTTCCTTCCTACAAACACACAGCCATGTGCCAGTTGGAGTACTCTGGCAGTACCCTGTTTATCAAGAGTCACCCGGACAGCTTGGTAGAGGCAGATTCGGATTCATAGTTCTGGGGTGGGGCCTGAGATTCTGCATTTCTATCAAGCTCCCAGGTGATGTTGATGCTGCTGGTCTCCAGCTTCTGTTTGAGGAGCAAGGCTCTAGGGCTCCACATTAACATTTAAACATTTCTTTCGAAAAGCTGACCGGAAACATCCCTGATGCTCAGCCTTTGTAAGACTGGCTCTTTTGGAACAGGGAAGGCACAGGGCTGTACATCTTGCTCTTAATTTTCTCCATCTTTGCTGTTTCTAGGCCACTGGGAACAGGCTGCAGAGCTCAGAGTCCTTGGCCATGAGGTTCCACTGTGGACCGTCAACTGACGACAGCCTGGTTTCTACCAGCAATGGGCAATGGGGTCAACGTTCATGGGCTGCTCTGAGGTATTACCTGACTGCGTCGCTGTTTCAGCTTGATTTTAACAAGGAGGATGAGGCAGACCAAGGAGACCACGACAAAGAAAGCCAGGAAAATCCCCATGTCAAAGTATTCGGTGGGTTGCTGGAACAGAACACAGACACAGTGAGTCACAGCCTCTCTTCAGCCTGGCAATCGCCAGATGGGCTGTGCTGCCTGGTTGGCAAAAGGACGAGGTGATTGGGGTAAGTTTCCCTTAACTTGCAGGAAGTTCCTAGGGCTCTGCTCACGCACACATGGTGAGCTCTCGAGGCCCAGGTAGTGTCTTTGATGTGACCCGGAGGATGCCTGCAGCGGTCTCAGCCAGGTCCCCCATAGCCAAGGGAGCTCTACTCGTAAAGCCTGGCTCCCAGGGGAACAGCACGGATTGTGCTGTAGCCCGTAAGAAGGGCCCTTCCAAATAAACACAAATAATCACATTTATAGGACAAAGGAGTGAGTGTCATGTTTTGAGGGAACAGTGATTACTAACCATATAATTAATGGTTTACAACAACTCAGAAAATTGTATGCTGCTTCCACAAATATCAGCTTCCACTACAGTGAGTCACATTTACCAAAGTGCTTTTTTCCTTTAAAAAGAAGCCAGCAAGTCAGTTCTGCAAACTCCCTCTTGTTTTAGTTCTTGCCTGTTCCCTCACAGCACACTGCTTCCTAAAACCTTGAAGCCACCTTATCTAGGACACGGACTTAGCCAATAGGAATAAAGCTTTGCTGGCTGGATGCTGTGTGTATTAAGATACTTTGTGCATGAGAAAGAATCGTCCTACATGTGAATATTCCAATATTTGTCAGGGGGAAATAAAACATATATGGGGCACCTGCCCTAGGTTCTTAGAATCCTTTAGCCTGAGATTTTGGCAGAAGTCAAGGGTTAATGGCCAGCAGTGTCTCTTCGACACACTTAAGAGAAGCCTAAACACTATTCAGGGGCCAGGAAATTCAACCCCAGTTGAAAACTAAGTTTTCCAGACTCAAATGTAAGTTAGGGAGTTTCAATAAGGTAATTTTCCCTACAGGAAGAAGGAAGACATGGGAAGCCAAGAGCTGGATGTCCCGTCCCTTCTGTCCTCCCTAGACTGCCTTTCAGAGGGAGATGGGATGGAAGAGAAAGAAGGATAAGAGGTTACCAAGAAGGAATGCCAGGTGGAAGAGACCAGAGACATCTTAGCACAAATCATCTATTTCTAGTAAGATTTTTCAAATTCCCTATAAAGATATATGGGTAAAATTTCTCCCTGGTCTCGTCCTAAAGCTGATCTAAACCTGCAGGAACCTAGGGTACACTGGTATTTCAGACAGAAAGAAGACAGGAATGAAAGCATGAAGCTCAAAGGAAATAAAGGCACTGGGCCAGCCGGTGCAGAGGCTCACTCGCGGAGGGCGGTGCTGGATCCTTGCTCGAGCCACTTTCTGCTTGTTGACGATGTTCATCAGCTTGATGGCATCCGCACCCTTCACATATACTACTGGCCTCTTGAGCGGGTCTTCTGAGCCCTGGTTTAGCTAACGAAGAAGAGAAGTCCTGGTTAAAACATGCACTTACTTTAAGAAGCAGGAGAGAGAGAATGGCCAGAGGAAAAGAACGCTAAATGCCCATCTAGAAATCCTCAAACTCTTCAAGCATCATAGCCTTGGAGCTTCTAGAAGGGTGAGGCTGAGGATAATGCTTGTTTTAGGACGGGCTGGACAGGCTGAAGGTCCAGAAGGGTCATTGAAAATGCCTCCCCATTCCCTAATTCCCTGCTCTATAAATCTCCCTCAGGTATGATGTCCAAAGATGGACAACTAATTCCAGAGGTCAAACGCAAAGTCCCCGAGATGAGGGTGACACGACTGTGAGAAGGTCCAGAAGGGTCATTGAAAATGCCTCCCCATTCCCTAATTCCCTGCTCTATAAATCTCCCTCAGGTATGATGTCCAAACATGGACAACTAATTCCAGAGGTCAAACGCAAAGTCCCCGAGATGAGGGTGACACGACTGTGAGAAGTGGAGCCAACTAAAGGAAGTGTCTCTCTTGGGAGACTGACTGCAGCACTGGCATGGCCCCAGGAGTTTACCTGGTCGATCGCTTCTGGGTTTTCAGACACATCAAAGATGACTGCAGTAGCTCCCCGCTGCACTGCTCGCTTGGCCTGGCAGAGTAAAAAAGAGCAGGTTGGCACTCTTGTCCTCTTACCTTTCCAAAGCTGGCCTTGGAAATCAGGCCTGTAATCAAAGGCAGAATCTGACAATTTACCAACTTATGTGATCTGGGGCATATTACCAACTTTCCTAAACCTCAACTTTCCCATCTGTGAAAAAGGGGACAATGCCATCTATCTTGTATGGTCATCCTGAGAACCAGATGACTTAGAATAAATGAAAACTAGTAATTGGGTACTCAAGAAACCTTTGTCTCCTTATCCAGCCCAAACATTAAAAACAAGCTACAAATCAACAACCTGCCCAGTCAGCATAGAGGTATTGTTTCAGTATTTTCTGCGATGAGTACAGAGCCATTGGCAACTAAACCAAATGCCTTCGGTCCATCTCATGTGGTCCTTCTCCCTTCCCCTGTCATCCAGTTAGAACAGCATATCAAATATTTCTGAATGAATCTCAAAATGGTCATTTTTAATAAGTGGCATGAGCTGAAGACCTTTGGAGTCACCATCAGGGGGGAAAGCTACAAGAAATCATTGTAAATAGGGATTTAGAGCAGTTGGCTGCCAAACTTGGTTGCACATCAAAAACCACTTGGGAAGTTTGTAAAACAGATTTCCTGGCTCAGACCACAGAGACCGATTCAGCAGGGCTTGAGTCAGGCTCAGGAAACTGAGTTCTGTGAGCTTTCTGAGGATTCGGATGAGTCAACCACTTGGGCAACTATTGATCAGAGAGATGGAATAAGAATATTTTAGGAACAAATGAGAAGTGACAGGATTCTTTTGGGGGCGGGTGGAAGAATTCCTTCCCATCCCAACGAACCTTCTAGCTTCACATCCAGCTAAGTGGACACCAGGGTAGAAGCTGTGGAAGAGTAAGACATAAGATATACCCCTTGCTTTTAGGAGCCTGAATCTTGTTAGGGAAAGAATTTTTTACCTCTCTAATGGGGGTGGGGTGGGGTACAAAAACAAAAACCACCCTTCTATAAGATGGGCAAATGATGGCTAGTGCTCAGAGGTCAATAGAGTCATTACAAGTGCTTGAGAAAGAAAAAAATACAAGTCCCTTCCATAGGAATAATCCCTGTACATTGACATGGTGTAAGAAAGCCAACATAGACGAGAACGTGGCTAGATCAATGGCTCCACCAGCCCACTAGAGGGCAGTCTCATCCCATAGCTTTTTCAACAAGCCAATTCCCCGTTAATTTTGTACCAAACAAGCAGGACCAAAAGCAACTTCTGTAAAACCCTCAGGGACACTGCAAGCTCCTCAGTAATTTAAGAAGCTCCGGCACCCCGGGTGCTGTGCTGGAGTCTGTCCTCGTTCTGCAGAAGGTTTTCTTTTTGCATTGAGATTCAATGTATTTAAAGTCTCTGCCAATTGTCCACCCCACCCTGTTTTATCACCAGAGTACTGCACTAGGAGTCAGGAATGAATCCTGGGAGCTATTGCTGGCTCTGTCACTAGCATGTAGCCACCAGTTGGCAAATCACTGAATCTATTTCAGCCGCAGCCTCGATTTCCCCATCTGTAAGAGGAGGAGGGCACCTATGTCATTATGACTAAGGTCCCTTCCAGGGCCCAGTCTTGGCCACTCAATTGAGAGGCAGGGGACTGTCCCAAGCTACTCAGAACTTCAATGGCCCTGTCACGCCCCTCCAGCGAGAGGATACAGATGGCACACTGAGAAAATTCCAGGCCAAGATGGCATCACTTTCCTCCTCCATAAAGCTCTTTGGGATGCTAACCCCACTGCCTGAGTCCAACAGCTTGTGGATTCCAGAGTTAATAGTAACTAGGCACTTGTGTTTTCTGCTCAGGTGGTATCCCAGTCTTTTTCACAAATTCTTCCCCAGATGCAGAAGGGCCCTGAGGAACAGCACTGAAGATGAGGAAATAAAGAGGACCTTTCGTTCTTTTATTTGGCTTTCATCCCACAATCAAGTACATCAAACAGCACCCGCAGGTAATGTGCATTCAGATATGTCCTGATCGGGAGCTCGCTAACTCCCGCTTTGATGCTGGCGCACCTGGAGAGTCTCAGGGCGTGGGATGAAAAGCTGTGGGATCTGGGGTAAGGAATGCCTTCCCAGCGACACACGCCTTGGGGAAGCCATTTGGCCACATGGCCTCCTGCCGCTTTCAGGTTTCCCTGCTCCACGAGAATGTGGAAGTCTCAAGGATTTGGAGGTTCCAGACGAGGCATGACCCATTTGAGACAGGCACAAAAGACATTTTTAACAAAATCTAGGAGGGCTGACCAGTCTCCTGGTTTCTACAGTGAATAGGATATGTCAAGAATACGGTGCTTAAATCCCATTTACAGCTTGACTTCAGTCACAACTCAACCAGGCTAATTGTACAGACTCCAAGGACAAGTATCTTGTTGGATATTCATAGTTGAGTACTCATAGTTGATTACTTTTTTCTCATAGTTGATTTACTTTTTAAATTATATGTAAGCTGCTATTAAAATAAGTTTGTATTTCTGGCATATATCAGGACTGGACAGGAGGGAAGTCAACCCAGGATCCTATTGGGAACTTGCCTGTTAGGAGCCAGCTCAGGATTTAAAACAGGCTATGAATAACCCCATATTTGGAAAATGACACCTTTATTATACTATTCCCAAAGCAAAGTAAAAAACACAGAACACTGCTTGATCACATTCTTCCCTTGCCCTACATTTCTGTCAAAAAACTGGTGAGGCAACATGGTCAAAGGTTTGGATCCCCATACCAGCCAGCTGCCAAAGATAAAAAAAAAAATTGATGAGGCATCTTCCTTGAACGAATCTTCATATTTTAGATCATTTACTATTTTACGTAGTCAAGCTTGGACCAGAATATTACTTCAAAACAAATCTAAACTCTGGTCAGGAGACTACCAGTCTTGTGACCACCAGAAACCCTTGTTTTATAAAGTCACACACTTAGCGTCCAGAACTCTCAAGATAGGCTGTTTCAATGAAAGGATGGGAAAGACGCAGACTGGTAGATGTGGCTAGATGAAGGTTACCAGTAAACTGGGCTACAGGTGGGGAGGGCAGTTGCCCCTAAACTGTGCACAGATCAGAGTGGAAGAAAGAGCAAGAGAAGGGTGTGACAAGAGAAAATGGGGGAAGGTCTTTCGCCAGACCTCCCAGAAGCAGCCAAAGGCCTTGCCCTGCTGACCTCTGTATGCCCTTCCCCTTGTCCCCACCCATAGAGGTATCTTCACATCCTTTATCACCTTTGCTGCTTTGACCCCCACTCAGGCCAGGGCAGGTTGGCACCAGCCAGCAGGTAACCAGAAGCCTGCTGGGCAGAACAAAAGGTTGTCATGGTCCTTTATTTACCTTTCCAGGGCTGCAGGACCTGAGACTAGACGACATCCATAGCCATTGAAACAAGTAGCAAAAGGGCAAACACCTGCATTCTTACAAAGACATTTTGCAAAGTACGAAATTTCATCCCCTAGAAGACAGTGCCCTACTGTGGTGGGCGCTTATCATTTCTATGATTATTCAATAAACATTATAAATAAAAGAAAGCCTGCCTGGGACCATAATCGTGAACTACTGCTGGTAAAAAGAAAGCGCTTCCTGACCATGGATGTGGTTTTCTGGTATGGAAGTGCTTCTGTCAGTAAGACTGAGTCTAGAATATCCTGATGCAAATGGAGCATTCTGATGAAAATAGTCCTGTCACCACCTTGTGGGCAGGAACACTTAAAGCCTAGAGTCTACAATTACCAGGAATTTCACCCAGGCAGGTATTCTCCCTGGTGGGTGCAGTTACACTGAGACTTGGTTTGGGGCTGGGACCCACCCCAATACCTATTCCCCAGAGCCTCTGGAGCACATACTCCATTTTTCACCTGTGTTTACCTGTTCCTTTGTCAAACACTTCAATATGGTGTCCCCAAGGCGTAACCTTTATTATAGAACTCAGACAGATGCAGTCTTCATGGGAAATAATCCAAAAGATGAGTAAAAATCTCCTTTGTCCCACATTCCTGATCATAGGATAACCAAGGAAGTTGGATTATTAGAAGTAATATGAAGACAAGACTCTTCTAGGCAGTTCTGACACACAGGGGCTCCAAGCACAATTTTTTGCCCCTACTGAATACAATTTTTAATGCTGCATTTTATTTTGCACTTATCATAAGCTTCCGAGTTATTAAAAATTTTTTGTAAATATTTTGAGCGGCTATGATATACTCCTTCCTACACTCGACTCACTCATAACCTTTTTGATATTTGGGCTTTTCTGGTTTTTTATTACAATTAATGCTGCACTGAATAAATCTTGGCTTTCATTTCTAATTTTCTTAGGACAGAGGTCCAGTGCCAAAGAATATGTAGATTATTAAGAATCTTAATATATATGGAATGATACCTAACAGGAAATAATAAAAAAAGAATCTTACTATAATCCGCATAGAATTTTGATGCCCCTCCTTATATACCCACCCAAATCCTATTTGTCTGCATTAATGAAAAGATAAGATGGTACAGACAACATAAGACAAATTTGTCAACAGATTTAACTTCTGGGCAAGGTGGCCTGTTGGCTACGTGGAAGGAGGAAGTCAGTTTGAGAGCAACTCTCTATATGATAATACCTCACATGCGGAAAGGTACTAGAGTAAACTATACTGAGCTGATCATACCTACTCCACTCACCCTTCATGTCAAGCTCACATGCGATGCCTTTCCTAAGACTAACAGTGCTTCTCCTTAGCCAAGGGGAGCTCTCACCCATCTCTGAGCTCTAATATTCCTTAGGATTTCTCCTTTGCCACTCACTTTTTTCATATTTCTTGGCTTTTTATACTTACCACTTTCTATGATGCATTTTCTCTGAAAATATGGTCATCTTTAGCGTTTCTGCTATTTATAAGAGTAATATGCCCTTGGTGTAAAAAATTTAAAGTATTCAGAAATTGAAAGCAAACAATAACTCATATCCCAGCTTTTTAACATGTGTGATTAATA